AATATGTGTTGTTGTACATCACACTGTATTTCAAGCTGCTGGATTAATAACTGGGTATTTTAGTAGAGAGCAGTCAAGGGAAATGAGCTACTGCTGGGCACTCAAATGATACAGGATGTCAAAGCCTCTTTCAAGGAATTAACGGCTCATTACTAGAATTTTGTAAGACAGCAACATCTGAGAAAATGTCATATAGTGTTTTGAGATGTTATATATGTTTTATACATATTGTTTGAGATGTTATATATGTTATATATGTTATAACACTATATGTTACATAGTGTTTTGAGATGATGCTTGGGAAGTTACTTCCTGGCTGTATATTAATAAAACATATTTCATTCAGGAAAAAAGCCTTCTGTGCAGATCTGCTGGTATCACATTATAGGAGTTATGATATACATTTGGGCCTCTCTTCACCAACACAGATGCCTTGCAATTCTAGCTAATCTTAGAAAAAGCAGATCAGGTAAGATGTTTCATTTCTGTCTACTGTGTACTTAGGTATTTTTTTATCTGCTTTTTTCAATAGGCTTCTGTATCTTCTAATACCTTAAACACAAGTGTTTCTCAGTTTCTGTAGTGTGTAGATTAAATGAAGCCGTTTGGATGGCTGAACTGGGGGGAGAGGGTGTGCTATGTCTGTATATATTGTTCTGTAAAACTTAAAATGAAGCTCTATCTTCTAACATCTTAAGGATAGACATGGTTTCCATACTCTGCGTTTGCACAGCCAGAGGTGGCATCTTATTTCATTAAGTGCAAAGCTGCCAGATCAGATGGAGGTTAGATGATGATGACTAATAAGCATATTGTTCTGTAATTGTGAGAAGATTATGATGATTAATAAGCATATTGTTCTGTAATTGTGAGAAGAAGAGTTTGTTTAATGCATCTTGCCAATTAATTTCTTTCTGTTTGCTTGCAGGAAAGGTTGTAAGTCTGAGCCACAGTGTACCTTTTGGAGACTGGTTTGAGAGCGTTTCTTGCCCTCATTATTTTGCAGAGCTCCTCATATATGTTTCTATGGCTATCACACTTGGAATGCACAATGTGACATGGTGGTGTGTAGTGATGTATGTTCTTTTTAACCAGGCACTGGCTGCTGTTTTGTGTCATGAGTTTTATCAGAAAAACTTTAGCTCCTACCCAAAGCATCGAAAAGCATTTATACCACTTGTTTTTTAGAGAATTTTTTCTAAAGTATTTTAATGAAAACTGGGAATATAAGAGATTAATGGTTTATTAAAACCAAGGTAAAGTAACACACTTTCTCTAATTCTACCTCAAAAGCCCATAATTTTAATGATAATCTCATCCGGGTGACCAATTTCTGAGGAAATGTAAAGTCTCTGCATATCATGCGAGCTAAAAAAAGTTTACTGAAGACCTTAATTCAAAGTGGAGAGATGCTAATTGTGTCTTTTCTCTTTTATAATTATATCTTATGCATAAAACCTTGCTGTTGTGTAGCAAGTCCAAATTCATATATGTGAAAACTATTGAAAGGAGGAAATCATTTGAACTACTGTATTTTATGTCGTGACTGATATTTAAGCATATTTCTTTCCAAGTCTCTTTTCTTTGAATCACTTCAGAGGGAGGCAAATTGTGTATCTTTCTGTGCTTCCGTGGTGACAACGAAAATCAGCCTCTCTTTACAACTGTAAGCACAAAAAGCGATGGAGAAAGCTGTGGTGGAGGAGTGACTCATGCTCAGCAGTGGAGATAAACAGACCCATTCGCTGCATTGTCTGTTCTGCACCACAGTGGTTTTGTTCATTGATGAAGACTGCTTTATCCCTAAACTGGGAAAATAGTGGAAGGTCGTCTGACTAAAAAGACAGTAGAAGAGAATTTGCTGAAAATTAATGTTCTTTGTTGTGGTTCTGTTGTGTATAGTGGGTTATTGGAGTCCCTCGTTTGTTGGAGGGGACAGCTGTGCAGATGACCATGACCATGACTATACTGGTTTTTAAACAGATATAATGAACTGCCAAGGCAGAACACACACAGAAAACAGTACCTGACAAGCACTGCAAAGAAATTCTTAACTGGGGAGATAATGTAAATCAGCACAGGGACTTTTTTTGCACTTAACTGTTGAATATTTTGGTCCTTCTCATGACCCAGGTGTGAATGGTCAGTTTGTGTGATGAAGTGATATGGGTGCTGGTGTTTCTGCATGTTGTCTACATACATGCACGCGTTATTTTGTATATAAGAAGTATTTTTATTCAATGAAGTATATCTTATGAATTGCCTAATTAAAGGCTTATTACACTCTGCTTCTATTTTGAATGGTTTTTCAAAACTGAGTTTACATATTTAAAAACATGAGCAATCACTTTATTGCTCCTCACGAAGTACATTCCTGTCCTTGTTCTGGGGAGAGCATCAGGGCACACAGCTATCCTGGGGCCCTCAGGGAGAGCATCACTGGGAGTGCTGTATCAAGTTCTGGGCTCCTCAGTTCAGGAGAGACATGGAGCTCCTGGAGCAGATCCAGCAAGGGCAACAGAGATTGTTATGGGATTGGAGCATCTCTCTTACACAAGGAGAGGTGGAGGAAGCTGGGCCTGTTCATCTTCAGGAGGAGACTGAGAGGAAAACTCATCAAAGTCTGCAAGTATCTAAAGATGAGTGTGGTGCCAAGAGGATTCAGGCTCACCTTGGTGGTGCCAACCAATGGGACAAGAGGCAGTGGGCAGAAACTGATACACACGAAGTTCTACCTGAATATGAGGAGGAACTTCTTTACTGTGCAGGTGACTGAGCACTGGAACAGATTTCCCAGAGAAGCTGTGGAGTCTCCCTCACTGGAGATATTCAGGAACTGCTGGACACAACCCTGTGCTGTGCTCCGGGATGGCCCTGTCTGAGCAGGGGGTTCGGGGATGGCCCTGCCTGAGCAGGGGGTTGGAGGGATAACCCTGCCTGAGCAGGGGGTTGGGAGGATGGCCGTGCCTGAGCAGGGGGTTGGGGGGATGGCCCTGCCAGAGCAGGGGGTTGGGAGGATGGCCCTGCCTGAGCAGGGGGTTGGGGGGATGGCCCTGCCTGAGCAGGGGGCTGGGGGGATGGCCGTGCCTGAGCAGGGGGTTGGGGGGATGGCCGCTGTGGTCGCTGCCAGCCCGAGCCGCTCTGTGATTTCGTGCTCGGGGCCCTGCTGGGCTCAAGCACACACGAAGCGCTGCTGTGCACTAGGCCAAGAACGAAACCGAGACGTGTCCGGGCCTATGCGTGGCCCGTGTTCCTATGCGGATTTTTTTGCCGCCTCACGCAGCCGCTGCCCGTCCCTCCCGCTGCGCCTTTTCCCTGCCCGTAAGCAACCCCGAACGGGGAAGGGACGCGCTTGGACTCTCCCGCCCCGCGGGAACGCCGCACAGCCACCTTTGCCCATCGTCTCGCCACGCCGGCAGCCGAAGGAGGGAGGAGGGGGCGACCCTGGCCCCGGCACCCCGGCGGACAGCGGCGGGGCCGCGGCGGGAGGCGGGGCGGGGCGGGGCGGC